AACACAGATATCAGGGGGAAGGCTTACCTCGCATCATTGACTCAAACTTATATCTCGTTGACACAGATTCTAGCTCATGGAGTTGGATGGTGTAGCAGTCCACATGCTTAACCTGTTAATGATGATAAATTTTCAAGGTTGATTGGCAGTTTCAGAATATGATAAAATAAAACGCGTTGTAGCTCACAATTTAGGCATATAATTTGGACAAATGCTGCTGGAAAAGAGAATGTCTCAAGCAACAGCCAGGCGACATCAAATTCACTCATATATATCACAGCATTCATGAGACAAATGCATAAGAAATTGTTATATCACAATTTCAATATATGAAGAAGCCATTAGGTTGCCACATAGACACCAGCTGTACACTTGCGACTCATGCCTTGGTGTTGTAAGGACATGTGGTTTGTTACGTAAAGATGACATAAATGGTATGATAAACCTAACATTTGGTGAGGCAAAATTATTGCAGCGCTGCAGTTTGGAATGCACCGGATGGACAAAGAAGAATATTTAAAAAATTCACAGGCAGGAACCAGATGTAATAAACTACAACTGAGAAAACTTGAAAGTTACATACTTGTATTTACAGAAGATAAACTTCAGTCTTTCCAAATTCAATAATCAATTAGGGAACTCAAGTGGGACTAAAGCAAGGAAAGTAGACGACTCACCACATGTGGCCATGTCAAAACATTCTCTCCTGTTATTGTCTCCACACACGGCTCTTCAAAAGCACACTGTTTTGCTAACTGCAACATTGCAGACACTGCAAGGGAAAATAACATCATAATTGCTAATTCAAATACAACCAAAACAGAAAGAAGCTACAAGTAGAAGGAATGAGAGAAGCAATTTCTAAGCAGATTGGAAGAATTTAATTTCACATATATGCATGGAAATTGAAAACAAATCTAATTTAGCATGATACTCACTATCAATTCCATAGACATTGCGCCAAAATTCAATGCTGTCATTGTATCTGTCAGGATGCGTGATGGGTACCATGTATAACTGCAGGCAGTGATGAGTGAAATCAAACAATAAATAAATAGATTTTCATCACGAGTGCCAGATGCTACAACACAATAAAACTTCATACGACTGAAGGTTCAAGACATGTCCGCTAAACCAAGTGAAAAAAAAAAAAGGAAAAAAAGAAGCTCAAATGCTCAATTACATTGCCAGCTAGTAAACACAAAATTAAAGTAGACAGCATGAATTGAAACAAACCGTTGCAATGGAAGGAAGAATAAGACCTCCACGTTTTAGCCACCGATCTCTAGCAGTAATTACACTCCCCAGCATACTCTGGAAAGTAGTAATGCGGGTGACTGGGATGAGTACATACTTAAAATGAAAGGACAATAAAAGTAAAAAGAATAGAGGATATAGAGTCAGTTGTTTGAATAAAAATCATGCTCTCATCTTTAAACCTCAAAGAGTTCCAGGAAATCTCTTAAAAATGATATAGAGTCAGTTCCAGGAGATCATGTGCGGTTTTAACAATCACCTCATACAGAAGCATGTAGCCCATCCACTCTGAAATTATTACATCAACCTCTTCATCAATTTCAACATCCTGCAGATATTATAACCAGTATAAATTGTCTAACATGCAGAAGGAAATAAGTAGTTCAGGGGCAGGAGATGTTTCTTAAAACAGTGCAAAGCAAATAGCAGTACCCCAC